TTCAAATAAGGAAATCTTGTTGGATTTAAATATACAAATAGATTTGTAAAAATACCTCAATTGGGATCCATGGTAAATTCGTGTGGCACAGGTTGGTTCTCCTGAAGAAGAAGAATTATTTCTCAGGAACTTCTCTCAGTTCCGTCTTTTCCCCTGGGTGTGCATGCGCGTGTACGGTTCAGTTGGGAGAGAGGAGTATTCTTCGGTTGTTTTGTTAAAACGAATTCACTTGTGGGGAGTACTGCGAATTGGACGGCTGCCGCCTTGACAAACCCATTTGTGGTTGAAACCTTCCTCCATTCTTCCTTGCCTATTTGTGAGGCTGTGAGCTTATCCGCATCCCTACAAACCTTCCGCCGCCCTCACAAATCGACGATTGAACAAATTCTTGTTTAGTTTGTAATGTTGCTTTACAACGATTATATAAGTCATGCATCTTCTGGAGCTAATGACTCTTGAGAATCCCAAGCATCGAGAGACGAACAACCTTCTTGCTATGATGGAGTATTGGAATACTTCGTAATTAATTACTCGCTGCAGCGACATTGGAGCTAATGACTCTTGAGAATCCCAAGCATCAGAAGAGACATAAATTGCTTTAACCGGCAAGGCAATAAGCACTTACAGTTCCCGCTCAAAATGGCGCTGCCCTATTGCGTTTTTATATATTATATAGATGCTGCCCTATGTAATTACGAACTTCTCGTAATCTCGTATAAGCCGACAATTGAGTTGGCGGTTATCTTAACTAAAGTTAATTTCAATAGCATTTTGGGAAATATTATTAACTCGACATTATTTTGGGAAATATTTTTTTATTTAACATTATTGTAGGAAAAAACTCAAGGTTAAGCTCACTTCAAATCAAACGCATATTTTAATCATATATATTGAGCATATCCTAATTAACCTTATATAGTTGTTTAGTTTTATGTACTCTACATATGTGTGTGTTCTATAATACCAATTAAATTTGCAATAAAAAATGGATAAATTCATATATACTATATCATAAATTCATAACCCTCAGTCCCTCAACCTAATAGGATCTTTTTTGGTAGACGAATGAAATTATAATTCATGTTATAGACATAAATTCAAGGTAAAATCTAAATGGTAATCCTCAACTAAAAACTTTTTGGTTTGGTAAGGAGAAAAATTGATAACGCATTAGAAAAAATATAGGTAAGTTAATATGGTGCTCCTCAGTCTTTATTAGTGAGGTTTTACGTTTTGTAGAAGAAGAAAAGCAAGTTATAATCCTTGTGATATGCTTAAAATCTAAGAACCTTTTCTTTTTCTTTATTTGCATCTTTTAAATCTGAGATGTTACATTAATCCCCACTTTTACTTTCAAATCTTTTAGGGAAAACTGTCAAATAGGTCCTCAAACTTTCATAAAAAAGTCAATTAAGTCCTTCTATAGGAGGTTCTGTACGGCCGTCGCGATTTGGGGCAGTTTCCGGTGGAATTTTTTGATGAAATGTTTTGAGCATCTTATTCATCAAGTCTAGTTTACTCATACCAAATTTCAGCTAAAAATTCAATCGGGAACACATTCAAATTAATTCTTGAAGATAACTGCGCATTTTTGCGTTCTCGAATTAATTTGAATGCGCTCCCGATTAAATTTTTAGCTGAAATTTGGTATGAGTAAACTAGACTTGATGAATAAGATGCTCAAAAAAATTCATCAAAAAATTCCACCGGGAACCGCTCCAAATCGCGACGATCGGACAGAGTCTCCTATAGAAGGACTTAATTGACTTTTTTATGAAAGTTCGAGGACCTATTTGACAGTTTTCCCAATCTTTTATCTTGTTTCATTTTCTCAATATTAATTTACTAGGTGGTCCACTTCTTTCATAAATCTATTGATTTAAGTGAGGTTCCAAGATTTTCAGAAGAGAAAGCTTTGAGGTAAATGCGTAGCTTGAAAAATAGTATGTCGTCAACAACGTGTATCATTGTGCGAAAAAATAGTTGTTAACTCTATATACTACCTCTAGTTTGAAGTTCTCTGAGAAAAATTATCATTCGTTTTTATATTGTTATTGTATCAAAATTTGGCGCTATGACGAATTAAAATGTACGTAGTATATACTTTATTTTATTCATAAATGTAATAAAAATATAACATAAGCAGTTCAAACTCTATAATAAATGATACAATAAAGATGATTCATAAATAAATTAGTCTGTTGCCATGCTTTCAATTTGAGTTTATTGGATTTGTTTTATTTTTCATAACATTCACATATGGTAATAATTATTAAAGGTAGATTCTATGGTACCCATAAGGTACCATACCTTTGTCCACATGGACCAATGAGAATGTTGCTGTTGAATTATTTAAATCTAAATTAAAAATGATAAAGTGATGTGGTCCAATCAAATGAATGGTAGATACCCCATTTTTTAAAAGGGTACCGGAGTTGGATGATCGAGGTAGACCACTTCTCTCTTTGGGTGGGTGTCTCTCAAAATTTAAAGATGATAAATGATACAATAAAGATGATTCATAAATAAATTAGTCTGTTGCCATGCTTTCAATTTGAGTTTATTAGATTTGTTTTATTTTTCATAACATTCACATATGGTAATAATTACTCCCTCCGTCCCGAAAACAACCTCCTGATTTGACTTTCACACACTTTTAGAAAATAAATTTGACTTTACTGTAGAGTGCACTGTTTTGCACTGTTTAAACACTGTTTGGCACTGTTTAAACACTGTTTGGCACTGTTTAAACACTGTTTGACACTGTTTATCACTTTTTTGATGTAGATAATTTGCCAAATAAGGAAATTATTGAAGTGTGAAGTTAATTTTGGGACATTCATTTAAGGAAAGTGGGAAGTTGTTTTTGGGACGGAGGGAGTATTAAATACTAGACGACTACTGGGATGATCGAGGTGGACCACTTCTCTCTTTGGGTGGGTGTCTCTCAAAACTTAAAGTAAAAAACTAAAGAAATCTTTTGTTTATGAAAGCACCAAAATGTTAATATAAAATAGGATATAAGTGAACATCCTATTTTATGTAGCACAAGATCATTGCATAGATGTCTCTGGCATGTGTCTCAGAAGGTGCTCGCCCTCTTTGGAGTGTAGTGTGCTTTGACATATATAGGAAATGGTTTCTCGCATGGTGAATATTGTAAATTTTAAACTTAAAACAACATTATACATTTTCATCATAGATTCATGGAATTTCTATTAAAATATACAAATCCTCTATCAAGCCTTTGATTTCTATAGTGCCCGTCTCCATTGATAGGCCTGTCAATGGGTCGGGTCTAGACCCGGACCCGACCCGGACCCGGTTTTTTTAACGGGTATGGGTCCTTATTTTATTCTGTTTACCCGAACCCGGACCCGTTAGTACTTTTAATAAACGGGTCGGGTATGGTACTTATGATTCCGAACCGTTAAGGACCCGGACCCGTTTAAAATTTCTTATTAGTATATACACACACTAATACACAAAGAGATTAGTTATAATACTTCAAATAAAAATACAAACTAATAATACATATAAAGTGATTAGTTTTAATTCTTTGATTAAAAAGAAACGAATTAATACATACCTAATGTATAAGTGATAATATAATAGTACGTAGTATATAATATGCTTTAAGTCCAAAAGAACTTTTTGTGACCTAATTTCTAGTCTAATATACGAGTTTCTGTGGGAGAGAAAGAGACACAAAGTGCGGAATAGTACGCATCTACAAGAACCGATATTTTATTGGATAAAAGTACTAATTTTCTATGATAAACCTTAATTTTTTTGAAAAGTGAAGATATATTTTGTTTTTAAATTTGTGCACTTTGATTTACATTTCATATACATGTTTTGCTATTTTTAAAAAATTATATAATGTTCTGTCAAAAAAAAAAGTTATATGATGTTGTGCATATGATACTTAGCGGGTCTACCCGACCCGGTTCCGAGACCCATTGGGTCCGGGTCTGGGTTCAAATTTTTAGACCCGCCGGGTAAACGGGTCGGGTCCGGGTCCTTTATTTACTTAGCGGGTCCGGGTTTGGAACACTACGTTCCGACCCGGACCCGACCATTGACAGGTCTATACATTGATACGAATTTTATTTATTGAGGTGTGCTGATCGGGTGTGTCCAACCGACTAGTCAGGTGGGTTTCCTTTTGGGCTGAATTGGGCCATATGTTTAATGGGTTGAGCTAGGTGCAGAACAGGCCAATGACCTCTGGGATCATGGCCTCTTTCCATAACCCCATCACTATCTATAAAAAAATCACGTTTTTGTACATTATCCTTGTTTGGTTTTGGTTCAAATAAAAAGTGCATTTCCAATGAAAAACAAGAATAGATTTGGTGCATCCAATTTATGATCAAATGTCTCTAAATGTGTCAACAATGCATTAAAATTGATCAAAACGTGCTAATATATTCGTAATTAAATCAAAATTTTCGTCATTTCTTAAAGTGCATCGTTTGAAGCCAAAAAGTGCATCGTGCCTTAAATGAAGTGCAATAGTTAGCACTTTGAACGGTGGAGTCACATAGGGTATGGTGGCATCATCTCCACCACATATCATTTTAGTGGAAAACCCCACTAAAATGATATGTGATGGAGATGATGTCACCATACCCTATGTGACTCTATAGTGGAGTCACATATGATTCATAAAAATTTTGCACTTTTTATTTGAAGAGTGCATATCCTTATTTTAGTCAATATATACTTGTATTAGTCATTATATCATGAAACTATTGTTCACCTCTATGTGTGTATGTAGTATGTACCGTCAAACTTAAAAAATGTTGATGATTCTATCTTGATATTTACCATGTTCCAAAAATCTAAGCATGTAACTAAATAAAGCTAAGAATATGATACTACTTTAAATTTTGAAACATCCAAGCATATGGAGACATGACGATTACTATACCTATAAGTTAAAGGTGTTGAGATGTACGAAGTATAAAGCTTTTTATTTGGCCATGTAGTATCATGTTCTTCTGAGCTTCATTATATTCGATCACTTTAACTTTATTGTCACAACATTTCATTCATTTCATAAAGTTTCAAACTTATTTACCTCTTATACAATCCTGATTGCTCTAGACAAAACGCATTAAGTCAAGATAGGCCTCTGAGCTCATCAAAATTGAATACCTCAAGCACAAATGCTCAAAAGAGGAAGAGACTGACATAGTTCTCGCATCCATTGAATGTACGTAATACACATTGCTAATTTGCCACAAAAATAATAATTCGACTAGCTGTTATTAGCCTTCCAAAAAGAGAGAGCGTGGTGAACCCTTCCTTTCCACCCTTGCAACAACCAGTTCTCGTCTTCTTCCACGGAGAAATTCTTATTGTAATCTGATTTCACTTTCTCAGTTACAGACTTGACGATCTCTTGATCGAGAGGGAGTTGTTGAAGTCCAGCCCTAAGGCTCCGAAGTTGCCATTTCCTGTATGTCTCGGGCCTCTCAACTCTCTCAATTCCTTCACAAGCGATCACATTCATCAAAATTTTCCCAAAAGCAGTTTCCTCAAAGAGTCGCCTGTCTTTGTCTTCACTTGGCAGAGTCGCATCAAACATGTCAAACAGCGAGGAGAAGTGAAAGAGTGCCTCTCGGAACCGCACATCAAAGAATGGGGCATTGTAGGTACCATTCACGACTGAATGGATGAACACATCTGGATTAATGTTCTTGATGAGATTGAGTACAGTGTCCCTCGGGCTGCTCGGCACCACCGTCTCGTCCAACACGTTTCCGAGCCTGTCCAAGCAGTTGACCACCAGCACATCATGGGCCCTGTCAATCTCGAGATCTACGAGTGTTATACTCTCCCAATTCCGTGCTATGGCTTTGAACTCAAACGGGACATTGAATCTCTTGCAGTATTTCTCCAACCGAAGGCCCGTGGCCCTGACCCGCTCATCGGGGCGGAAACCGGGGCGGGGAAATTCTATCCCGGTGATGCGAAGCCTGGGAGGCCCACCGGGCCTCATCGAGAGACCTTGGATGAAACTTGGCCATTGAAAACCATACAAAACTCCAAAATCTATGATGTGGAGGCTGGTTACTCCCTCTGCAACAGCAAGTTTTCCTATGCATAAGTTGGCCATCATGGTTGATACTACCATGAAGGGGACTGCTTGGACATACCTCCGAACAGCCTTCACCATATCCGCAGCAGAGCTACTGTTGGGATACTTAGTTGCATAGAGTGACGTCCCCATTCCGTTTGCGCGTGCCTCGAGCGCATTGGCGAGATAGAACGCCGTCCTTTCGGTTTCGCCCCCGTGAGGAGAACAGTGCACTCTTATCTTCCTGAGAGTCTCGTTCGCCGCCTTCATGTCGTAATTCGCCATGGATTGTGCACATTGGGTGAGCAATCCTCTGACGTCAACGAATTCCGGATCCACTTCTCCTTTCTTCTTCCTACGGCGGCGGGTCTTCTCTGCCGCCTTAGGGTCGCAATTTGTTCTGTCTACGGGACAGAGAAGGGCGTCGTAGAAGGTATCGTCTAACGGCTCTTCGGATTCTTCCAATTCACTGGCCGCCAAGTACTTAGGGTTTCGCTGGTGGATTTCTGCAGATTCATTGTCGGGTAATGGAGAGTCGTGGGTCCGTTTCCCGCAAGATCGAAATTCATGGGGGAATTCAATTGGAACGGACAAAAGTTCAGATGAGGTGTTAGTGGGATGAGTACCGGAGGTGAAACCGTCGGGCTGGCCTCCGGTGCCGTGGAGGACGTCGGAAAAGTGTTCCTCGGTGGCTTTATAAGCCAGGCATTCGCTGAGCATGCAGGGCTGGTTCTCCAACTCCTCTTCCTCCATCAGCATGTGGCTTATGAACTTCAGAGTCGGATCTGGGCAATCCCCTTCCTTTTCATCTCCTTCTTTTGTAGCAGATTTGCTCTCGGGGAGACTGTTCATGCCTGAGGAACTACTGCTAGGACAGAAGAAATTTTGCCCGCTCATACCCATTGGATTCAATGGTTCAGAGAGATGATTGCATACCAAATCGGTTGATGTGGCGATGAATTCCTGGAACATAGCCTCCATAACTTACAAACCCCACTGACTTGATTTGAGAGTACAGAGAACAGAGGAATGGAGGAGATAGTGAGGATAATTCGAATATGGTGTTTCTCTTTTAATTTGTCAAAAAGTTGAAGGCCCGTAAGATAAGTAAATCTAAAAAGTTTGTCCGTAATGATAGCGATTTGAGCTAGGTACATACGTCATACTATCTCGCTTCAGATAGTTTGTCGAAGAAAGTTTGTCCGTAAAGTCACAACAGTACATATAATTATCCGGACTAAACGGATATATAATTGCACTAATAAAACTAAAATACAAATTATATCACTCGGCTATCTAATTTAAGGGAGGGGAAATTTTTTATCATAAACCAATTTTAATTTCTAAACTAATACTATGAATTTTTATTTTTTGAAAAATATTGTTAAATTCGTCTTACTACTAAGTTTTACAATCCGATTTTTATTTTATTTCTACTATTATGGAATTAAATATAATGAAGGTCAAAGTTGTGTGTTAGTGTTAGATACTAATGGGCTGTAGTATTCTTTGTATAGCTTATTTGGGCCGAAGGGTTCCATTAGTTTGTATTACACTTGTATAAATACCTATGTACTTGTTAATAGAAGTGAGGGGGATTAATTAGCCCTAATTAAATATACTCTTTACAGCATGGTATCAGAGCCACGCGTGAGGAGTCTCGCCCGTCCTCTGCTTCATTGACGGCTCTGCTTCGTCTCTATCTCGCAGGTCAAACACCAGAGTGCTTCGACTTGGCAGCGATGGGGGATCCGACATCACCTTATTATCTAGGCGCGGGTGATCAGCCCGGAAATCTGATCACTCATGTCATCTTCAAAGGAGACAATTATGTCTCATGGTCTCGTGCGTTTGCCCTCTCGTTGAAGGCTCGCCGGAAACATTGCTTCATTGACGGCTCGATGAAAGAACCGACTGAGGCGGCAAGGAAATCTGATTGGGAGACCAACAATTCCATGGTGGTCGCCTGGATTTTGCGGAGTATCGAACCAGCGGTGGCGGCCTCTATTCCTTTCCATGAGGAAGCTCGAACGCTGTGGCTTTACTTGGAGAAGAGATACAGTGTCTCAAACGGCCCCCGACTTCAACAATTGCGGGCTTCAATCACCGAGTGTAAACAGGGGAAATCAGTTTCTGTTGACTCCTATTACACAGCGTTGATGAGCCTCTACGACGAGCTATACCGATTAAAACCCCTGCATTCTTGTACCTGCGGACTGTGCACGTGTGGTGTTGTTGACAAGTTCGCTGCTGACCGCGAGGAAGAGAAGCTACATCAGTTTCTCGTCGGAATAGATGATGAAATCTTTGGGACAGTGAGGTCAAATCTGCTGTCTCACACGCCATTGCCGGACCTGAATCGAGCTCATCAGGCGTTCTTGCAGGAAGAGCAGTCACGGGCGATAGCTCGTGGAAAATCATTGACCGCAGAAGTACAGGCATTTGCTCTTCGGACGGATCGAACTGGGAAGGGGCGTGATGACAAGGCAGATCGCCCTCGACCTATCTGCACTCACTGCAAGCAAAAGGGACACGAGATATCTTCTTGCTTTAAGCTACACGGGTATCCGGACTGGTGGGAGGACCGAAATCGTTCAAGGGGGCAAGCTGCCGGGCGAGAAGGAAATACTGGCAGAGGAGGTGGTGCTCGAACTCATGCGGTTGTGGCTCCAGTAAACTCCTCCAAAGCTGATGAGTCTTCGTCCTCTGCTTCTGGGGGTGAAACGAGTGGTCTGGCCACTTTGAGTAAGGAGCAGATACAGGCTCTTTTAAATTTAATTAATACGGAAAACCGATCTTGTGACCGGATGTCGGGTAAGAATTCACCCTTCCTTGAATGGATAATTGATACGGGGGCATCGCATCATGTTACGGGTAACCCCACATGTCTTATTAACCCCACGAAGATTAATGATTGTCCGGTAGGATTACCGGATGGTAGACAGGTTGCTGCTTTATTAGTGGGCAGTGTGCCACTCTCCACGGGTCTCACTCTTGAACGGGTTTTATATGTGCCAGGATTAAATTGTCACCTTATTTCTGTATCACAATTGACGGATCAGTCTAAATGCTTAGTCACATTTACTAATACTCTTTGCGCTATACAGGACCTACACTCGAGGAGCCTGATTGGAGCCGGTGAGAGGCGAGATGGGCTGTTCTACTTCAGGAAGATACCTACTTTACACGCGGTTCAAGGGGGGGCTTTGACGGAGTTTGAGTTGTGGCATCGTCGACTGGGTCATCCCTCGGATCGGGTTCTTAAATTGTTACCTTCTTTTATTACCAGTTCTACTCAAAAGAAATTGAATAAACCTTGTGAAGTTTGTCCACAAGCTAAACAAGTCCGTGATTCTTTTCCACTTAGTTCGAATAAAGCTAGTAGAATTCTTGAACTAATTCATTGTGATTTATGGGGACCTTATAAGACCCCATCTACTTGTGATGCTGTTTATTTTCTTACACTGGTAGATGATTATTCGCGGGCTGTTTGGGTATATCTTCTTCGGGACAAGAAGGAAGTGCACAAATATTTTATTTCTTTTCTTGCTATGGTTGAAAAGCAATATGATGTGACGGTGAAAATAGTGCGTAGTGACAATGGCACTGAATTCAACTGTATGATGCCTCATTTTAATACTCATGGAATTATATTCCAGACCACATGTGTTCATACGCCTCAACAAAATGGGCGCGTGGAGCGCAAACACCGGCACATCTTAAATGTCGCTCGGGCTTTGATGTTTCAAGCCCATATTCCTATTCGATTATGGGGGGAATGTGTTCTTACGGCAGTATACCTTATTAATCGGACTCCATCAGGTCTTTTGGGGAATAAAACCCCTTATGAGGTACTTACTGGTGTGGCTCCGACATTTTCACATTTGCGTATTTTTGGGTGCCTCAGTTTTGCCGTTAATCTATCAGCACGGGGTGATAAATTCTCTTCTCGTAGTCGCAAATGTGTTTTCATTGGCTACCCCCATGGGAAGAAAGGATGGAAATTATATGATTGGGACACAGGAGAAATTTTTGTGTCTCGAGACGTGCAATTTTATGAGACGGAGTTTCCATTTTTCTCCCCCCAGTCTGACATTGCCGGTGATGTGCCTTCGTTAGGTGAGTCTCGCCCACTGTTGGAAGACACGCATGTTGTGGATACTGATCATGGGCATTCTACTACACATGATATGCATGTCTCGGCAGACATGGCAGCCGAGGTCCCCCCCCCCCCTTCCGGTAACACCACTGATGACCAGATGGGTTCTGCTCCTTTGGGCCGAGGCATGAGAACCAAACGGACTTCTGTTTTGCTCCGCGATTTTGTTACAACCAATGTGATTACCAGCCCATCTCCGCCATCTTCCGGTACCGTCATCTCCTCAGGTACTCCTTATCCCATAGCTAATTTTATTAAATGTGACAAATATTCTTCCCGGCATCGGGCATTTCTTGGAGCTGTTCTTGCAGGTCAGGAACCTCATTCTTTTTCCGCCGCCATGACTGATGTAGGATGGCGTACGGCCATGCAGAATGAAATCCAGGCTTTAGAAAATAATCACACTTGGGTTATGCAGCCACTTCCCCCCGGTAAAAAGGCACTTGGGTGTAAGTGGGTCTATAAAATTAAATATCATTCTGATGGGACCATTGAGCGTCTCAAAGCTCGGTTGGTGGTTTTTGGCAATCATCAAAAGGCAGGTATTGACTACACTGAGACGTTTGCGCCAGTCGCCAAGATGGTGACCGTTCGGGCTTTCTTAGCTGTTGCTGCAGCTCAACACTGGGACTTACATCAAATGGACGTCCACAATGCCTTCTTGCATGGCGATTTGGATGAGGAGGTTTACATGAAACCTCCTCCCGGATTTTACTCCTCGCAACCGGGCCTCGTCTGTCGACTGAAAAAGTCCTTGTATGGCTTACGCCAGGCTCCCCGTTGCTGGTTCTCAAAATTGGCGGCTTCCTTGAAGAAATATGGTTTTATTCAGTCATATTCTGACTACTCACTATTTACTTATCGACAGGGGGATATTCTGTTACATGTTCTCGTCTATGTGGATGATTTGATTGTTGCAGGCAATAACTCCGGTGCCGTATCCGCATTCAAATCTTATTTGCACTCCTGCTTTCACATGAAGGATCTTGGCATTTTGAAATATTTTTTGGGCATCGAGGTGGCGCATGGGTCTGAGGGGTTGTTCTTATGTCAACGCAAATACACGTTAGACATTATTACGGAGACTGGTCTTCTTGGTGCCAAACCTGCCCCTGTTCCTATGGAACAGAATCATACGTTGGCACTGGCTACAGGCCCTCTTTTATCTGATCCGGAGTCTTTTAGGCGCCTTATTGGACGTTTGATCTATCTCTCATTTACTCGTCCTGACCTAGCATATGCTGTTCATATTTTATCTCAGTTTATGCAGGCTCCCAGACAGGAACATTGGATGGCGGCATTACGTGTAGTTCGGTATCTTAAAGGCACACCTGGACAGGGTATTCTTTTTCCCTCCACGTGTGACTTGACTTTAACGGGTTGGTGTGATTCAGATTGGGCCAGTTGTCCCCTCACTCGTCGATCTCTTACTGGATGGCTCATTTTCCTTGGGGGATCTCCTATTTCTTGGAAGACAAAGAAACAACATACTGTCTCTCGATCCTCTACTGAAGCAGAATACCGTTCAATGGCCGCTGTCACCGCTGAATTAAAATGGCTTAAAGGTCTTCTCCTTTCCTTGGGTATTCATCATTCGAGCCCTATGATTTTGTTTTGTGATAGTCGATCCGCTCTTCATATCGCTCATAATCCTGTCTTCCATGAGCGCACCAAGCATATCGAGGTCGACTGTCACTATGTTCGTGATGCTCTTCAGGCTGGGCTCCTTGCTGCTAAACATGTTTCTACTACCGATCAACTGGCTGACATCTTCACTAAGGCTCTTGGCAAAAGACAATTTTTGTACTTACTTAGCAAGTTGGGCATTTTTGATCCGAATGCTCCAACTTGAGGGGGGGTGTTAGATACTAATGGGTTGTAGTATTCTTTGTATAGCTTATTTGGGCCGAAGGGTTCCATTAGTTTGTATTACACTTGT